AAGGAGCAATAATAATTAATAAACATCAACCAACAAAACCACACAACTCTTTAATTACAACTGTTTGAAATAAACAGTTCTACATGAAAATATTTACCTTCTTTTTATGTTACTTTATTACTTGATATGCTTCTTATTAATTAGCTTTAATTTTTTAATCGTTGTAGTAAACTGCCCAAGATGAATTACGTATAATCCAAAATGTCCAATAAAATGTTCATCATTGCTATCGTCTTTACTTTTGGGAACATATTTTGTTTGCCAACAAATGATTCAATCGCCAAACGTTCACAGCTTTTTTTTTTCTCAAATAATTGGAAAGAAATTGTTTATTTGTTTTAGAGCAAAGGCACATTGGGCTATCTGCTGTGTCCACAACGAGGGACGAAAGAAATTGTACAGATATATTACAAGTGAGCGGAATTTTCAAATAAAAAACTTAACTAGAGATTAAAATTGTTCTTACTCCATCTCCGATATTAATCTATTTAGTTCAAGATTTCTGAGTTATTTGTTCAAATCATGCATATATAGACAATATACGACATAATGTAATTTAGCAATTTTACAAATTCATAGCTAAAATATAAATTTTTAATTTTAATGAAACAAACATAGGTCTGAATTTGGCAAGATGTTGAAATATTCTACATTTTTAAATGCATATTTATACAAAAGCATATATAGTTAGTAAGTTATACGTAAACGATACTATAATATTGTTGTATGTATGAATCTAAATAATGTGCAACATTAACGGCAAAATATGTGCTATCACCTAAAGTAATCTCGAGAAATTGTATATCTCCATATATATAATAATCGGAGTTTGTTACTCGCGGTGGACTGAGCACATATACCTTTGTGTTTTACAAACCAACAAATAAAAACACTGTGAAATACGTAATCACTTTTTTTTCTTGTGTAACTAAATTTTATATACTGTGTGGCCAACATAACACGTACCTTAACAAAAATTATTAAAGGCAACTGTGGCTTAAGAGGCTACAAGTTCTAACATACAGAAAAATGTGAAAAAAACCTACTTCTGAGGAAGGGTCCGGAAGTAGGAGTCAGCAGAGAAAAACCACTTGAGGGAAGGTTGTTCTTGAAAATCTGAGTTAACTGTTGGTCAACCTCTAAGTTCGTTGTCGTGTTGAGACTCTGGCGTAAGAGCTCATAAGGCGAAACGACATCGTGTAATAATTCATGTAACTGAGTCATGGGAGAATGGTAGTGCAAGGTTTCCTCCCCGAAATAACTGTCATTACACCAAATACGAACCGATATCATTGACGACGTAGAAACGAACATAGCTGAAAGAACAGTGTCAATAAATATATTACTCAAGCAAAAAAAAAATCGGAATATACTGAGTTAAAATTAGTCTTGAAATTTAGTAACAAAATGAAAATTTACTTGCTTATAAAAATATTTACGTAACTGGAAATGTTCTATTTGAAAATGTTACATAGAATGCTTAGTTTTGCGTTTGGTACATTGAACTTTGACTAATCAGATACTCACCTGGAACATGAAAGTGAAACGTGAATGGATTTCGGCGGTTTGCTTTTACTTCTTGTTGTTTGTCGTTATTTTTCAGAATAACTCTGATGTAATGGTCTTCCTGTACAGGTGAGTTTAAGACTACGGAAACTTCTCTGGACTTCTGGTAAGGATTTAATGAAAAGAAAATACTGGTAGCAAACATATACATTGATATCCAATAACTAGTCCTAAGCTATATTTACTGGTAGTGTGTGGAAACTTCATTTCTAAGGATTGAGCTTATTTGTTTAACTTATACACATTTTATCTGTGTGAGCTGGTTTGTTTTAATCAGCTCAATATATCAAATGCTCGTTCATTTACTAAATGTTCGCTGATTTAAATTGTATCTAATACTTCTAAGTAACTGAACGACAATTACAATCATTACGTGTGACTAAAAACAATCGATTTTAACTCTATCCCTTGATCGTTCAATACACAGTTACTTAAACTGAATAACATTTTCGCAATAAATCTTAAGGGTACAGGTTGGTCCTGTGTCAGAACTCTATATTTCTGAGCTCCGGCCCTGCATGGCAAGGTGGTTAGGGTCGCTTGACTCGCAATGTGAGGGTCGCGGGTTCGAATCCCCGTCTCACAAAACATGCTCGTCCTTTCAGCCTTGGGGTCGTTATAATGTGACGCTCAACTCCACTATTTGTTGGTAAAAGAACAGCCAAGAGTTGGCGTGGGTGGTGATAACTAGCTGCCTTCCCTTTAGTCTTTCACTGCTACATTAGGGATGGCTAGCGCAGATAGCCCTCGTGTAGCTTTGTGCGAAATGAAAACCAAACCAAAGTTTCTGAGCTGGTGAGCCTGGTTCGACATCACAAAATATTCCTCGCGCTTTAAGTTGTGGGTGCGTTATCAGAGTAACACTCAATAACTTAACCTGGATAATGGGTGGTAGGGTGTTGCCATCTGGCCGCCTTCCCTCTGGTCAGTAGTTCAAAATTAAGGACGACGGCTGGTAACCTTAGTAATTTCTTATAATATAATATCTTATAGCGGTGGAGCAAGATGTGGTCTAGTGATTAATGTGCCGAGCTGTGGATCTCAAGGTCCAAAGTCCGAACCGCGATATTCCGCTAAACACGCTCCTTGGGGAAGCTATATTAGGAAGCGAGTGCTATTGGCTGGTTTTCTTCTCTCTGGTCAGTTGTTTTAAATTAGGGGTGGTTGTGTATGGATTTTAGGGGTCTTTGATCCGATTCTTTCGCCATGTGTCGCATAAGGTACTGTTCAGGTTGAAAATACCACTTCCTTACATCTTTGTTTTTGCAAAGTATAATATATATATATATATGTATATTTAATAGTATTCACAACTTACAGCCAAAAGAAGCAATTTTGATATAGTCTTTATGAAACATCTAATATTACCTATTCACATATTTCGTGACAAAACAATAAGCTCAAGGATAAAAAAAAGGTTACATTTAACACGAGTTGACCTATTCGCTATAAAATTGAAATTAATGATCTAATACAAGTCCTATTTAAAATAAAACTCAATAAGCTTATAAATGTATCAAGGAGTACGTTCACCTTATATGTTATTTGTAAAGATCATCGTGTGATGCTGTTGATTAAACTCGCCCCATAGAGTGAAGAGACATTGCTTACGTCAGGGGTTTAATTTAAAATGGCGTCCAATTTTTGCACCTGACATTGGCTGTATAGTACAACATTAATTGTACAGTACAAAAAGTTGAATTGATGGTGCATGCATGCCAAACTTTACACACTTTTATTGTAAAAATTAAAGGATAAAGGTCAATAGCATGAATTATATATATAAATAAAATGATAACAAAAACTCAAAAGAAAGACATTACGTAGTGCAAATAACTTGTGCGTTAAAGGTTAATATATTCTACAACAAACTTTTGCACATTTAGTTGTTTGGTGAATGAGTAGGTGTATAGCGCTTTAGTGGCGTAGAAGCTACTTTTCAACTCCTACAGTGTACAGGTTCATTTGCATATCTTTATCTTGATTGTGTTGACGTCATAACTTGTTAAAGCATTTATATATACAGACAGGAAGGTATGTCAAATATTACGGTTTCATTGGTTTCTTTTATAGGAGCTAGCCACTTCTTTTTACAGAGGACCGTATTGAAGACGTCAAAACTCTTAATACCGATATATAAATATATATATTGTCTCCGAAATGTGAGGTTTCCTAAAAACCTTAAGTTACATTCAACTATTTCACAACTAGTCTGTTATCTGTGTTTTTATTTAGTTTTTTGTGGTACGTGACATAGAAAGCGTACTTGATTTAGCAATAAATTAATAATCGTTTGAACAAGTTCTTTCAAGTTGATATGAACTCCGCTGAACGTGACGTTATCAAAGGATTCCTTTTTAAATGTGACATTTGTAAAGCAAGTGCTTCTATTGTTTCACGTTGTCAAGTAAAAGAACTTAGCATACTACAATGGGTAGTGCTCACCGTACAGTCGACAATTTAGTTTTCCTTACTAAACATGCTCCGATCTATAATGTAAAATTTTAATGTTTAAGTTTTCTTAATGAACAAGTCAAATTTATGACATTATAACAGCTTTCATAAACCGCCTTCACGTTTATTTTATGGCCTTATTATTTTTAAATCAAAAATTTATATACAAACACACACGTTTATATATAAATGTAAAATAAAATATAATATAATTTGAAATATAAACTTAGAATGTCATTAATCACGACATTAATATAGAATACTTATTATTCTGTACCCTATGCTTTAATACTAACTCTACAGTTGCTTTATAAACTATATTACCTCGTGAATTACATTAGGCCACAATTCAAAGCGGAGCTCTTGCATCCGTTCACTCTGATCTGTTCCTTGTTTCAAGATTAGGCTGACAGTTTTAATAATATTACGTACATATATCTCCTCTGGTTTTGGTACTTTTAGTCGAGTCCACAAATCAAAGGTCACTAGTGACTTCTTATGGTGGAAATTTATGTCATGATCTTTAAGTCCACACAACACAGCGACAGTCTGAGAAGGTTTCAGGAGGGATGTCAACTGAGAAGCTTTGGGCATATCCTCCAGAAAATCCAAGAAGGTTTGAGACATTATGATTAGCACTACCTGGGCTTTACTCAAATTCAGCACACAAGATTCAGAAAGAGGGAAAAACAAGCATTCAATACGCATTTGATACACTTTCAGGAACGGATCTAAAACATGATGCAAACAGTCCGACAAATAATCGCCCCACTCTTCAACGTCATTGCAAAACACAATGGTAACGTCTGGAGGATCCATGGTAACTGAAATGAGGGGTAAAGGATAAAACATACATATTTCTGGAATTAATTTATTTCAGAGATTAGAAACTACATATAAATTGAGAACAAACATTGCTGCTGCTAAAACACGACCCATTCTTTGGGGCTGTGGGTACGCTAAAACAGTGACGGTCAAATCACACTATCTGATCAAATCAAAGTAGCCCAAGAGTTAGCGAGGGGTGATGTTGGTTAACTGTTTTCTATCTATATTATTAGTTCCAAATTATGGACAAAATTGTGTAACTTTCTAAATCAACCAGGAGATGACTGATTTGCGTCTAAACAAATATTTGATAATTTTAGGAAGAGTTAAATACTGAATTTGTTTCAATGAAATATTTTAAGCACCAATGATTTTTATTTTATATTTTTGCAGAATGAGATGTGTTTTGTTTAAGTTGATAACAGAGAACAACAATAGAAGGTTTAAAAACAACGTCTTTCCTACTGTATTTGCTGTCTATACATACGTATGTGTTTTGATAATAAAAGTTTCATTAATAATTGTGCGATAAAGTTTGAGCCCGTATGATTCTCAAAGACACTTTCGGAAAGGAAATAGAATTAATAACGATATTCGATCATACCATATGATTTTATACAATCATTACTTTAATATAAACATATTATATATATTACTCATATTACTTATGACATCTATAATTTAAGCTGTTTCAAAAAACGAAAAAAAAGTTAAGCACCATTTTACTATCTTTTGTCAGAAATGGTAGTTTAGGGTTAGCCAAGGCAGAATGGCGCCTACGAAATATCATGGCCTGCACTTTGCTTTTATTTTCAGAAATAGGAAATAACTATAAAAAATATCTAGCATAATACATATAAGTCTGCATGTTTTATTTGTTTGTTTCTTTGTAGTTAAGCACAAAGCTACACAATGGGGTATTAGTGTTGTGCCCACTACGGGTATCGAAACCCGATTTCTAACGTTATAAATCCGCAGACTTACCGTTGTGGCACTGGGGGCACCTGAATGGAAAATACAATAAAGAATATGTAAAGCTAAATAATTTTTGTTAAAAACCATAGTTATTTCAATTATTCTACTTAGGTTTATTTAGTTTATTATCCGCAAGTTAACACTATGAATTATTTAGTTTTAGTGTGAGCAAAATCTCGTTGAATATAGTGCTCCTCATGAACAATGACATTAGGGGTTAACAATGAGGAAGCGTTTGTAGAAACACACAAAAAAAAATCCGTTTTTTCTCAAATCACAAATTTAAATATACTATAATACGTGTGTGGCTCTACAAGTGTTTTAATCCAGTTTATGATTTATCTGTTAAACATATGATTTGAAAAGTCTTCAAAAATAATCCCAACTGGCCATCCAACTCACAGAATACAAGAGAACGGTTTAATCCGACGTGCTACACGTTTTAGGATTACGTGAAACTTGAATAAAATGTCCACGTTAAATAATCTACAAGTGATTTAGTAGAGAATAAGAGAGTCATTTGGGAGTCAGGCCTGTCCTTAGTGACCTTTAGTTCATTAGAATCGTAGGGTCTCAACAACAGATTAGGGAAAATGTTTGTATTCATTAACATAAAAAAATGTGACATAATTAACGAAAAGTGTAATACGTTTAACAACACTGAGGTTCTTCTGCTTTTAAATAGGTCCATGCTACCTTTATTTCACAAGAGAATTCATATCAATTAATGTTATATAAGCCGTAGCCATATACCAATTAGACCATAAACATATGGCTAAGCTATGCTACATTTAAAGAAATCTAAAAATATCCAGCGTATGAAAATACAGATTTTGTATACATTAATAAATTATTAAAATCATTTCTCTTTTACCAACCGAGGAAGCTTTACTGAAGAAGTGAAACGCCATGGATTTCTTTATGTTGCCCAAGAGAAGTAGAAGCTTTTCCTCGTTTTATTTATCTTGCTCAGATTCTTATTTTTTTATCATTATTAGGAGACTGAATAAACGTCTGACTCTATTCACAGAACTGTCTGGTTCTCCAACCTCTGCACCTGACCAGTTAAGTTATAAATATTTAAAGTAAAATGCAACAATCAAAGCAAATTAGGAAGCCTTAAAATTAAACAGAAAAACAATGACAGTACTCACACATCTAAGCCAACGAGTATGCTTTTTCCTTTTACCAACAACAGACCTGTGTCGTTGCTGTTCACTCACTCAAGGACTAGTTATGAGCTCGTCTATACTTACGAGTGTTGCAATGTTATGTGGTGAAACCTGTGTAATGAATAATAAGCAAATGGGGAACTTCAGTAAAATTTCAGAGTAATCCTGTCACTTTTTTTACGATTCAAGAATGCGCGGAATACTTCGTAGCTGTTTGTACATTTTTTACAGTGTTTTCCAAACCCTTAGTAACTCACAAGTACATTTTCTTTAAAAAGGAAAATGTTCTGCTATATTATATTTCGTCATTTTGGGTTTGAATGTTCTGATCCTATTGCCTTCGCATAATAAAATCAACGTCATGAAAACATTTCTAGAATAATGAATATTAATACAAGTTACTTTTGAAAGCATAAAAACTTGAAATACCATAACAAGTTTATCGTGAAACCTGTTATACTAGCAAAATGTAGGCCAGAAAAGACTGCTTCACTCGACTTATAGTCTAGATTCTCGATTGTTCAAACGTTTGAAAATTGAATACAGTACTAGTGAAATGAATGGCTTTTTCGTTTTGAGTTTCAAATGCTTGTGCTCACAGCGTTCACATGTTTCTGAGGAAACCCATATTTTTATATTACTGGTGGCGCACTTGAAATATTCGGATAAAAAGTAACCAAGAATGTTTTCCCTTCTTAATACGATATAGTTTTGCGTATTAGGTTTTAAACTCCCTGTACATTCAAGGTTTCAAAGTACACTTAAGGGGGAGGGGGGAGCAGGAAAAACTTATTCCAACCATGTTAAAATAATAACCTTCACGTACATTATTCTCAAAAGCCTTTCAAAATAAACACTTAAAATTTTCACTTGCTACATTTAGCTGTGTTTTGTACTAGTTTAACTTACAAATTACAGAATTGTTTTTACAACGTTCATTATCGGCGGAGTCTAGTTATTACATTCTATATAATTTTAAGTTTTCACCTGTTACAATACTGAGTGTAAAGAACTGACCATAACATTAGGAACAATCACCCATTACTTTTGTAATATACACAGAGTACCTCAGCTGTAATTGACGGGTTTAATTACAATATTGATTGTATTTTTATAACATATTCCCGTGTAATTCATTTATCATTAAGAACCGAGTAATTGAGAAAGTCAGCGACCCATAAGCAATTTGTTGCATAAATAGTTTAGTTTGTTTGTTTCTTTGAAGTTAAGCACAAAACTACACAATGGGCTATCTGTGCTCTGCCCACCACGGGTATTGAAACCTGGTTTCTATCGTTGTAAATCCGCAGACATGCCGCTATGCCACTGGGGGACAAATAGTTTAGAAAAATGTGTTTAAAAAGCCGAAGGGGGTCGATATTGATAAACCTGGGGCTAAGCAGTATTTGCTTGATAACATGACAATTATATTTATTATTCAAGTAAATGCCCCTCACTGGTACAGCGGTATGTCTGCAGACTTACAACGCTATAAACCGTGTTTCGATACCCGTGGTGGGCAGAGCACAGATAGCCCATTATGTAGCTTTGTGCTTAAATTCAAAACAAACAATTCACGCAAATGCATCTAAAAGCATAGAGAATTTTCGTTGTTTAGAAACAATATATATATTATTTGGAAATATTTCCAGAAATAATTATAATGCTGTTTAATTTTCAATAAGAAGCAATGAAAACGCGTAGTATAAACTTAAGTTTCTATTTTCATTGGCTCCTGAGGAAAGTTTACCTAAAGTTGATTATCTTAACATTGGTAGAATAGACACTTCTTGTTTCTCTCAATCTTTGAGGTATATTGGTAGCTTGCTTGACCTCATTATTAAGGTCTATTATACTCTCAGAACGGGACCTATTCCCCCAGATTGTCACCTCAGTATCAAACACGTATGTTACACATGACTTCACGCATGGGCTGGACCTAAGTTGCTGACATAACTTGGTACTGGGTTAGAAAAAGTCTAATAACCAGTTCAATTGATTTGTTTAAAAAATAAGATATCACTAGCTGTTATCTCCAGAATGCATAGCTTAGTAACAAGATAAATGATGTAATGCTGATAGGTACAATTTTACACATCACTTTGGAGCCGTTATTTAGATACTTCTGCCATTTTATAAGTACAAACCAAGCAGTCGATTCTGAGGGCCTCCAAACCTCAATGTATTCCAATATAAAACGTAGAAACTTTAAACGCAGATATAATTATATTGACTGATTCCTGATATATTTATGCTAGTTTTCACATATATTCGGAGATACAATCCTGAGAGACCCAGAAATCTCATGAGAGGTCAAATATGATAAAAACCTGAATTCTGATGATTGTTTAGGATTGCTTCTTATATGTTAATAGCAGTGTTTAAGGAAATTAATTTAATCAGACCTAAGACTTGACCCCCTAAAAGAAACATATTTGACCTCCCACTTTTAGGGCATGATCACAATAAAATGTCAGGTCGTCTTGTCAAAAATTGTGGAGTAGGTTCAAAAATAGTGTAAAAAAACAACAACAAGAAAAAAACAACACAAAAAACAAAACAATTACAACAACAACAAAACATATATACGTAGGTACAATTGAGAATTACTATATAGATAAAACCGGCCTCCAGTGCCACAGCGGTATGTCTGCGGAATTACAATGCTAGAAACCGGATTTCGATACCCGTGGTGGGCAAAGCTCAGATAGTGTAGTTTTGTGGTTAACTACAAACGAACAAGGTAAAACCGTAAAATAGATTTAGTAATATATATATATATAAAAATCCAAACTTGAAAAAGGGAAAGATCGCTGTGATACTTGTAAGATGTAGTGACCAAGATAGAAATCCTACAATAGGCAACGAGCTGGTTTTTTCAATAACATATTCATGTAAAGTATTGTTTAAAAAAAATCTGCGAAATATATTTATAAAAAATACTTTACGATTTTATTAAGACTTTTTCCCTTATTCAATTTTTGGCTGATGCAACCGTACTCTATATTTATACGAGGCACACATGTGCTTATAAGACTTGTTTTAGAACTTTATAAATACATTAATCAAGATAAAAAAATATCTGACGATTGCGTCATTTGACAATTAGCCAAGTGTTTTTGGTCATATTCTAGTACTTGTTAACATTCGATCGAAGTAAGATAAATGGTAGTCATAAGTATGTTAGAAGTTTGTAAAAAGAAAAGAAAATCTTATTCTCGGGCTCTTATCTGTACTGTGAGGTTGGGTGGGGGTATAAAAAGCTGCTGTCCTACGCCGGATGTGTATATATATATAGTTACGGTTGTCTAGTCTGTCATCACTAAAGTGATACTGTCAGTTCGAATAAATGGAATGAATCCCCAACCTTACTCAGAATGACGGAAAAAGGGAGCACATGAATTCATGGCGAATGTTTTCTTAGATAACAGCTTCAGATAATTTTCGTCTCATTTTAACTACCTCTACAAGAGCAGTTTGTTTCAGAACAAAACAGCAATGGGCTATCTTCATTTAACTTTTGGATCACATTTCGCTTATTATTGCTGCAATGAAATTACTCCTAATATTCATTTTACCACAGGAAAATAACTAGGGCATTCGTTATCAGGAATTAAAAAATAAACAGCTTTAAATAACAGATTTACATAGCCCTTAACTCGTTAATGTTAGTCGTTTCCGAACAATAAGCATTTAAAATGTACTATGATACTTTTCTAAAATGTTATGAATTCTTGCTTTGACTTGTTGATTTTCAGTAACATTCGATAACTGAATTATTCTTAAACATTATTTGATTCGATAATATATATACAAAAGTGGTTTTTGTCAAGCTTCAAGAATTATGAGATTTTCTAATTTGTATGTGCATTAAAGAATCGATTCATGTTCAACAAGAATTTAAATACAGAATGATCCTTATTGTAATAGTTCAAAGCAATACTTTCTTAAAAGCTAGAGACACAGTGTAAACATACCCATAATCAATTCCTAGTTTGCACATAAAAGATCTAATGTTCTCCTTTCGAAAATCTGTGTACTATATTCGTAATATGTTTAAACAATTTTAAATTATCAAAAAAAAAATATTTTGTTTGATGTATACGTATTTATGTATGGAATTCACATCAAAATTAAAAGCAGGAACAACTTTTCTTTTCAATTTTGAATTTTTGCACAAGTTGTCTTGATTGAATTTTCGTAAATAATTTACTTCATTTGATCGATAGAGGGCGCAAAAGTACAGTGGGACAGTATTCTTTGCACTGTGTTGAGAACTTATTTTTTTAAACGTGGAAATAATTCTTCATTTAACTTTCACCTGGTGTAGGTTTCAAGCCGAAACAATTGATGTAATATATATCTGTGTATGAAGGATTTAAGGGCTATAAAGTCAGAAAATTGATACAATATGTTTATTACTAATTCAGAGGACTTTGAATGTTATGTATTTTGTTTGATGTTAGTCTTTCCATGTTCTCATAATTTGGAATGTTATAAAATTTATTGTTATGAATATGCTTTCGTTCTCGGTTTTGTCCATTAGAAACAAAACAGTAACGTGCATGTTCGGAAAAGCAGTTGCTTGATCTGGAGTAGGTAAATGACATTCCATAGTTTCGAGTTTTCGAAATTTATCGGTGTTTAAGCTATATAGGTTAAGCATTTGCTACACTTATTTTATTTTTGATTAAAATAAGAAACAAATGTCCACATACACTTAAAGTCTTGCTAGCTCCTGAGCAAAACAGATTTAACTTTATTTTGTGATAATATCTGTTGTTTATCTGGTTAAGTTAGGAAGGCTCCGTACTGGTTAAAACTCAAGTCCCTATTAGATTATAACACGAACATTGTTGTTTGATACAAAATGGTGTTCTTGTTTTTAACAGTTCCTTCACATCTAGTTTTTCGTTATGAAGAAAACACGGACATTTCTTTTATGTGCTTCTAATGTTAGCAAGTAACTGGATAACAAATCTTGGTAACCTAGCGTCGAGAGCCAGCCCAGGCCCCGGGATCAGTAATATCATCGGGCCCCCCTTTCATTTTATTTATTAACTTTTGCTGATTTTTCATAAAAGAAATTTAGGTGAAAAATTTCTTCATGAATCCATGAAAAAGCAGTAGCCATTTTAGCTAATTAAGTATTATGCATTTCTAGTGACCTTTGGAATATTCCACAGACCCCGGGTTCCGGGGCAGCTGCCTCCCTTTCCCCCACCCTCTTGTCAGCCCTGATCTAGCGGCATGTTTAGAGAACCAAACTATTAAAAACTGTTCTTCTGAATGCCTTCGCGTTTGATCTATTTTGTCCGAAATGTATCTCAAAAGCAGAAAGATACGTCTTGAAAAACTTAGAGGCATTTACTTGAGATCTGGCTCACAAATCTGTTTATGTTAGTTCAACATAACTATCAAATTTAATCTCATTGTTTTTCAACAAAACAAACTAAGTCTGTTTGGATGTAAATAATGATATTTAAAGCCACGTGAAACCTTCTGGTGATTCATTCCTGGAAATACGATCCGAAAGAATGAAGTCACCGAAAATAGAAGTCGACACGCTTCTCCAAAACTTCGCGTGGACTAAGACACGCTAGCCTGTACGAATTTCAACCTTATAGGTATACACCTCCTTTCAGCAAAGGTATGCAAACTTTCGGCTCAATCTTACTAGAAACTTAGAAGGAAAATAAATATGTTCTTTGAAAGGTGCTTGTTTATCTTTTCGCAGTTGTTTAACAAAAATAATTAAATCTTATACCGGAAAGAACAACATTGCACCGAGGGAGAAGCTAATAAAACGTGTTTTTCTAAGTTTTTGGAGGAATGTTGGGCTTTACTGGTTTATACTTTTCTTGGAAATTTTTGGCAAGACGTGTTCATTGGGAAAAGGCCAACTACGGTTCATCTAAATATCTGAATGATTCAGCTTTCAATTTGTTTTTGACTAAAATGTAAATCTTCTTTTAAGCTCTACTAATCTCTTTATTTGTCAAATACCCTTAGTAATAGGAATGTTAGTTGTCCATCATTTCGTTTTTTGACAGGTGCACTTTTCTGTTCCAGTTTCTAAGGAAATTGTTATGCTTCTAGATCAAGCACTCCAGACACTAGTATATACTGAGAAACGTTTGAAAATTTGCTACAGGTCTATGTCGTTTCCATTAAAATCATATGATTACGAAGGGTGAATGCTGAAGAGCTACCAAAATGTATCTGGAAAATAGAGAATCAAAGCCTTTCATTGAGGAAAGCCATCGGTGTTACATTAATATAAGACTAGACGTTTTATGGATTAGTCTAGCCTTAGCAATTTTGATAAAAATAAACGGGTTGCTCCACCATTTTCTGGAGCAGTTTGGTGTAGGCCTAGCTTCCCAAGTTTTCGTTAATCAACAAACAATCATAATTACAATATCACTGATGACAAACGCAAATATTTTCCGAAGCTGATATAGTATATTTTTATTGCTCGCCAAAAGCAAAGAGCACCATTTTACGGAAAAAATACGTGAAAATTTTCAAATAACTTTATACTTTTTTACAAAGACATTTTACAGAGAGTAATTTCCAAATTATTGTTTGTATTTATAGAATATATTTGGAATAAAAATGTCAGCTTTTGTTTTAATAATGCTGCAGCTGAAAAGAAAATTGACACTAGTCACCCAAAAGACATTTAAACATACCAAAAATAAAGAAATAGAGTATTTGTTTCATAGCAACGATTACGGAAATTTCGTATATTGAAATATGTTCATGCGCTCTGAAATAACTAAGTGTTGTCATATTGGTATACAAATGATATAAACTGGGTATGTTATTGAATTTTCTCATTTTATTTTAAAAAAATGACATAAGTTGAGATCGATTATCCTTTAATTTTAAAGCTAAATCATGGATTTCTGCTAGCTAATATGTAAATCTTTACAGTTTGTATAGCATGTAACTTTACACTACATCATATAACCTATTTCACTGATTTGAATGAATCCCAAGATGGAAACAGATTAGTTAGGTTGGAAATTAGGTAACGTCCAGGAAGATTCATCACCTAGGATTTTACTAAAAAACTAGCATAGAAATGTCTAAAGAGCTGCCAAACACTTAAGATAACAAATAAAAACATAAGCTTTGAAATAAAAAACAAACAATTATTTTTATTCTTATTTAACCACCGATTCCTAAACTGTACCTTATAACATTATGAGATTATTTTTAACATTTTTTTTTTAAATATTTGGGTTCCGGTCAGTTTGGATTTAGTCCAGACCTATATATTCTGCTGGCATGATATTTGGTTAATCTTAGAAAACTTGCGTCACACTCGAAGAAGGTTTGTACACGCCCCAACGAAGTACATTCCACGAGATTTTTTAACAGACCCCGAAAAACGAAGGTCCGTAATCAGCTAAGTCTGGAAAGCTGCAATCTCCACTCAGAGTAGGTATAAGCGTTTACGAACGAACGAGAAACTTGCGTTCGCTGAACTTCTATTTTCAACAAAGACTGGACACACTAGCCTGTGTTACATCTAATTTCTTACCTCAAAATGTCGTTCCAAAGACCATTTCTGGTTTCCATGAAGCGACCTGATCCACAGCAGGCGTGGGGATTCCGAGTCGTAGGAGGAAGAAACCAGAATCATCCCGTGATGATACTAAAGGTTTGATTCTTGTATTTTACATTCAACATTTTACTTTTGAACAACTTTAAATTGTTTGTAAAATTAATTCTGTTTTATCCAGTTGATGTTTAAGAACAATTTCGGTTTTTTTCGTCTGTCCATTGCCTCAAATCTGACCTACAATTTTATATAGTGGAATTTATGTGATATTAAAATGTGGAGGTTGGATGAAATACCTCAGGTTATAGATGGGCTCAACAAATGGAAGTGCTAATAACGACTTTATTTCATTACCCTCTGAAATTAAATATGTAGAAAGTAATTATTCTTTATTACACAAACTTAATAACTAGGATACAACATAATTAAAACATACGTTCTAAAACTGCCTGCGAAAACTTTCTGGCACAGATAAAGAAACCGTATTATAATACCAAACAACAAAAAAAGTATTTGTAAAAAAGATGTTTGATAAATCTGAAAGATGTCGTGTTAAGCAAATTAATATTACTTATCTCTACACCTGCATGTAACAACTAAATTTCTGATGAACTACTCAGTAAGTGCATCGTTTTTGCATGATACATTATTACTTCTTCTGGTGTTATCCCCCAGTGAGACATCGGTAAGTTTACGGATTTACAACGCTAAAATCAGGGGTTCGATTCTCCTCGGTGGGCACAGCAGATAGCCTGATGTGGCTTCGCTATAAAACACTCCTCTGGCGTCAGATATGTGTAACAAAAGCTTAAAACAAACCAGCCTATTATGAAACCACTCAACATGATAAATATCTTACTTATTCTGTGGTTAATAACACAATTTTCTCTGACAATACAGATTTTCGCGAGCTGATCTACGTTTGGTATTCGAGAGAGAGCTGTGGAGTCGATCAAGTATTTGAAAAATTAAAACTGTATAATTTCCAACCCTATTCTTTCCCTCTCGTCATCTAAGTTACTAATGCTAAACTAGTCGAGCTATCAAATTAAGTAATAAAGTCACTAGATTATGTCGATGTAGTTCGCGAGGTGTTCTGCAACTGAAAGAGTTTGTTTGTTTGTTATTAAGTACAAAGCTACACATTGGGCTATCTGTGTTCTGCCCACCACGGCTATCGAAACCCAGTACCGCTGTGTCATTGGGTGGGGGCTGCAACTGAAAGATCGACCGTGCACAGTATTATTTCGTTTTATTAACATTCGACCTTCAAAGAGTCCCGCTCTTAAGATCTCACAAGGAAAGTACACATTAAAAATGATATTATCGTGTAGTTCACGTTCTCAAGTTTCCTAAGAACAAAGCAAAAACACGATTGTATATGTAAATAAATATAGAGGGGAAATGCATTGATAAAATTATTTAAATCTATTTAAGAAATTATATGGTAATAAACACGGAAGATAGAATATCAACATAGTGGCTCTTCTTACCGCTGAAGGCTGATACGCTAAAAAGCAGGTTTCGATACTCGCGATGGGCAGAGCGCAAATATACTGTGTAGCTTTTCGTTTAAACGCAAAAAAACAAACGAACAATCAAAATAGTGACAAACTTAAGTGTACAAAAAAGTATTTGTTTTTATTAGTAACATAAGCATCAATCTAAAAAGATAACTTTTAATTATCTGTTATTCAGGTCTTAACAAAACGGCCCGGCATGGCCAGGTGGTTAGGGTGCTCGAGTCGCAATCTGTGGGTCATGAGTTCGAATCCCCGTCTCACCAAACATGCTCGCCCTTTCAGCCGTGGGGGCGTTATAATGTGACGAACAATCCCACTATTCGTTGGTAAAAGAGTAGCCCAAGAGTTGGCGGTGGGTGGTGATGCCTTCTCTCTAATCTTACACTGAAAAATTAGGGACGGCTAGCGCAGATAGCCCTCGTGTAGCTTTGCGCGAAATTCAAAAACAAACAGACTTCACGCTTTTTACTTATTATTATTATTATTATCGGCTAAATATATAGCTGTTGTAGACTGTACAATCCAAAGAGGGTTTGAGAAGAATGTTGGGAGAATATTAATAGCCACTTATAGATTGAAAACGTTGAGAGGAATAAGTTCGGTGATGATACATTACTTCTATTTTTGGTTGTGTACTGGGGGGCGGGGGTAAGGGAATATTTACAGAGTGACCTTCATGTAATGGCACAAACGCATTGACTGACTCATGTTGTATTTTAGTCGTCGTGTTTAACTTCCTAATCTAATTCTTTTTTGTGCCACTTTTTTCTTTTTTGTTCCCAGAAAACAACTGCACGTGAGACATACCTAAACCTTGACACATGTAATGCTGCGTAATAACCAACCGGATTGGCAGATACACGATGAAAAGAAGTGTATCACAATACAAGTTTACGAGACCATGTCTCACTACACGGTTGTTACGAAACAGGTGCATGCACATAGTTTGTAAACTTTGTTTGTTTGTTGTTAAGCGAAAAGCTACGCAATGGGCTGTCTGTGCTGTGCCCACAAAGGGTAATGAAACCCGATTTTTATCGTTATAAGCTCGCAGACTATTTGTATACAACAGCAGTAAGCCAATTGTACTATAAAATTTGATATGCTTTCCGATACTTTATAATTATACTCAAAATCATGAAGACTATTATGTACAAAATGAATATAATTTCACTAAAAAAGATTAAAATCACAATTAAAACAACAACAACAAAAAGCATATAAACGTATGCGAATTGAAACTAATAAATGTAAAAATGTAAAAAATAGAATATAAAATTAGAGGAACAAATGATCTAACTTTTTAAAGCACATTGATCAATGATTACATAAAATCACAATGATATATATATATACAATAAATATTTTAAGCATATTCGTATTGTTCACTTGTAGGGTAAATGCTTATATAGAATTACGTGAAATTAACAGCTGGTTTACAATGATTTCTGTATTGTTTCATATTCAGAAGCAGAATACAGCTGATCTGAATAAAACGTTATAATACGCGTTTGTTTAACTTAATTTTATTTAATATTTCATGTAATTAAAGTTAGACGAATACAGATATCATATTTTAATCGAGTTAAATAACATAATATGCCGTGTATGTATAGTGATTTAAGTTAATAGATGTCACTACTGTGAACATTGCGGTTGTTCTTTCTTAACGTGATTTTACCATTTCTTGCTCCTCAGGTAGCTCCGGGTAGCATGGCCGAGCAGGCGGGCTTGCTCAAGGGAGATGAGGTGATACAGGTTGGGCATGTAAATTTGCAAGACATGACACATGACGAAGTGCAGGAAGCTATTCAAAAATGTGGAAACCGATTAGAAATGTTTGTAATAAGGTACATTTTTATCTTTGTAAAATTTTTAAAAAATCACTGAATCGTTCTTACGATGCTGGACGCAATGTGAAAATGATAATGTTAATATCTCGCAATTCAATTGCCTTGTAACCGTTTAGTTGATGACCAGGAGAGGATCTGTCGGAGCGCAAAATGAAAACAAAACCAATATTAATTTATAACTTTTTTTTTACAGATGGAATCATTAATACACAAAATCTGAACTAAAATGAAATACAGATGTTGCATCTTTAAGATAACAAAAGGAGATGAGACTATTATATGTATATAAATATATGATAAAAACTTGTGACGTCGAGCCTATAACTGTGCACAAATCAAATCTTAGGCTAAATACCACTTGCAAACATCTTGGCACAACTTACCTATTCATTTAGATACCGTTATATGAGATATTAACAAATGTCTATGAGTAAATAATAGTTCTTTGATAGATATCAAACGTTTGTTTAAATAGGTGAGACTGTTGATCAAGAGATGGGTTGTTTTAGACGATACGTCTACATCGATTCGAAATGTCTGCTCGCTCTTCCCAAAGGTGAAGAAAAAGGCTTAATATTCATCAGCATCATCGCACTCACAGGGGGCGGGGGGACAAGCTGGTAACTTATCCCGGGTCAAGGCATTTAGGTCGACTCGGATAACATAACGCGTCACGTGCTCACATGTATAGACCATCCCGATCAAGTTAGTGGGCATAACTCTTGGGTAGACATCCGCGTTCTGATTTACGCTGAGAAGAGGATTATTTATTGTCCGCGAACAAAAAAAAAAAAAAAAAAA